GGCTGGGGGCTTCTCTGCCAGCTGGAGGGCAAAGCAGTCTGCAGCGAGGCGCGAGCCTTCCCTTACCCATGACGTGTACTCTTTCATTTGGTGCTGGTTGCTGTGGGAACCGCTGGCATGGCCCCTCCAGAAGCAGTCCTGACAGAGCTGGTAATTGTGACACTGCTGGCAGCGGTAGCGAAACCCCATCATGCTCTCGCTGTGGCAGTAGGAACACTCGACGGGGTGGAAGACTGCGCGGGAGACAGAAACACTGAGCCGTAAACCAAAGCAGAGAACCCTCAGCTAAAGTTTACAGACAAAGCCCCAAACTGAAGGGTAAATCCTTTCTTCATTTCTAGCGATCTGCAGTGTCGGATGACGCCTACAGCTTTGACCCCTGAAAACTCGAGTAGCAGCCCAGCAACCTGTGCTGAGCTGTGGGCAACGCTTCCTACACTGAGCACCAAACCCTTCACCACTTCTCAGCTGATGCCTGAACCTCCTGCTCAAGGCAGCAAAGAATGTGTTCACTGTCTGACATAATAAATAGAGGAAATTCATATGTGGGAAAATCCACTGCACCTTTCAGCTGTGATGCTGGGGTAAGCTGAATGTTTTGCTGTGCTGTGAGAAGCTAAAGCTATGCGCCTCAGAAGAAAAGTCAAACTCAGCTGTTTGATTACTGGAGGCACAAAAGTGTACTTAGGCATATTGCTGGCTCTTAACTACTGCTCTCTCATCTCTACAACTAGCGTCATTTACGTACCTGTATAGGGAGCTGATCACTTAGCTCTGCCTCTGTGTTTTCAGCGTGGTAGCACCTTCTACAGAAACAGTGTATGAAGGGTTTGGCTGAAGGGCTATATCTGAGTCTGTGAACTTTTCTGCAGGTACTCACACAGCTGGAAGGCTGAGTAAGACACTACTGTCCAGCAACATGCAACTTGCACTGTGCAACGATCAAATGAGTTGATCTTCATGGTCTCCTCCTATCTGAAAATCTGTGATCTACTCATTTTGGGAAGAGATAACCCTTGAGGAGAAAGAGGCATCTCACATTTAAATCCTCATCTTGCATACAGGCAAAGGACAAGGATGAACCTGGATCTTCCTTTTCAGAGTATATTGTCTGGTGCCGTAGGCTCGGGAGGAGATCCCTCTCCCAAAGACCTTTTGGCTGGTATTTCGCACTGCACTAGATATCTGCTGCCAAGAACATTGCATGAACGGAAACTGCCAAACTGGTCCTTCTCTGCTGCCATATGTCACAGCTAATAAAAGTTGTGGCCTTGATAGTTTACCAAATATAAGTGTGTGAATGGATCCTGTCCTATCCCTCTTTGCTTATACAGAGCACAGGAGGAGAGGATACGATCAGGGTCATTTCCTGAGCATAGCAAAAATTAAGCCACCTTCCTGGCCAGACGACCAACAGGATTCTTTGAATATTTCACCAGTGACTGCAAAAATAGCACATGGAGTCAATGAGTCCAGTACAGTAGCTCCCACAAAGCCGTCTACAGAGTGAGAAAATCACCGCACAAAAGTTTACTCTTGTAACTGGTTTTTGGCAGCAGCTCTTACTTACCATTTTCAACATTTGCCAGTCGATGCAGAAGTGGTAACCACACTAGACACTGTGGTGGTGGATCAGACATGAGAGTATCCAAGAAAGTGTTTAATGTGACTTTTTTCTGCTCAAACAAGCAAACAAACATGCAGAAAGAAATCAGTAATTAGACATATCAAAATGATTTAATCTTGTGCTTACAGAAACACTTGGGAACAAGTTTCAGACACTGTTTGCTTGTAGCCCTGGTTTACTGAAAAGAACACAGGATAATAGCAAAGCTTTTTGAGTATTTTTAGTATTTATGATGTATACTGCTGGCAGTCCTTTTCACATGGCTGGGTTGGAGATACCTAGCTCCCACTCACTTCAAGACTCTCTTCAAAAGTCATTGCCTGAGGATAGTTTGTGAATAAGGTTGGCATTCAACTCTTCCTGTTTTCATGTTCTGAGTACACCATAACAAGTGCAAGTGCACGCAAGGTATCACCATGTATTGCCAATTTTCACAGGAAAAGCCACTGCAGGGAATGATGTATGGTATTCCAACAAAGAAAACAGAAGAAAATAATGGCAAAGAAGTAAAACTCCGAAAAAAATATAGAGCAAGGACAGACCATCACAGGCAATTGTGTTACTGTAATTTAAGAAACCACGCTTGCTTGTTGAGTGATGGCAGCTGGTTATGGGTGAGGTCTGATTGTGGGCTGTTGTGTTTGCGTATGCTCAGCAACTGCAACTGTTCCTGGGATGAAGGCTGGACTAGATCATCTTCAGAGGTCCCTTCCAACCCCTAACATTCTGTGATTCTGTGATTCCTAAACTCGCTACACCTGTCAGCACTTAAAGATCTATGCCCCTTTATCTTTCAAAGAGACTTAAACTGTGAAACATCCCTGTTGATTTTAAAACGTAATAAAGGGCCTTAAGTTTCTTAGGTGTCCGGAAAAAGTCATCACAAATCCTAGTTCATTTGGTTTTTAAGACCTATAGGTGGTATTTCAGCCTGAGATATCTCCACCATAAACACCTGCTCTTGCATACATAGTGCACTGGCTACATAAGTGTGTGTTAAAGTACACACCTAATGGGTGATAAAGGACAGAGTCCTTAAGAAATCAGCCATCCTTTAAAATAAAATTAAGATGCAAAAATATTGAGCCCTGTTGAAAATGTGTGAAGATCTGATTTATAGACATACATATTTAAGTAGCATCCAAAGGGACTGCTAAATTTTCATATTTGATTGCATAAGCTACTTCTTTAACTTGCTAAAGAACTGTGGTTACCCCATGAGGAAGCAAAACAGCAGCCATGCAGTGACATGTATCATTTCCATGTGTTGTGGAATGCTTTTAAGAGTTGAGATTTCCAGATGGAGTGTCTGTGCTGCATTTATACACAATTGCCGCCAGATGTAAACAAAATCATTATTTCTATTTTACTGAGTGATGCATGGAAAACATCTCATTCTGTAACAGTCTCTGGGCTGATACATTGCGAGATATTGGGAAATACATAAAGATATTTGTCCCTAGAAGAGAAAATACTTCAGGCTAGTTGTGAAAATGATCTTGACTCTTCAATGACCAGAAATAGCCACAATATGATCTCTAAATCTCACTGAAATAATACCTTTTCCCACAACACTTGCCATTCGAAAGTCCAGTCAAACAGCTTATTTTAAGAATGAGCTTCTCACCCACGGAGAGTGGATAACCACTTCCCAAATAGGCATCCTGAGATATAAGCATTAGCTCACAGAAAAGGATCTTTTTTCTGGAGATGTGCTGCAGATGCTTGGCATGGCTTTGCTGACCAATGCCACCAGCAAAGGTCTGTGCTGCAGGCAGCAGAACTGAGAATAGGAGGAGAGAAGGCAGAATGAAGTCTAGGAAGAGGAGGGTCCTCCAGTGCCCCATACTGCAGATCTGAGTAGCCTTAAGTCTTCCCTCTGCTCTTGAAGGCAGAGAAGTAAGTTGACAACAAACACACGAGCACATAGATAAGGAGACAAGAATAGCTCTTCCACAGTGCAGTAGGCTTTTGGATGCAGCTATAATTTAAAACCGGATTTGCACCAAATAAAAGAACTTAGCTTCAAATAAAAGAACTTAGCTTCACTGACAGCTTTATGGCCAAACTCCTCTGGTGGTCACTGATTTTTTGGATTAGAGGGAGCAGTGAAAATTTCTATAGAGCAGAGAAATTTCCATACATTTCCATACAGGCATAGTTTCCTCCTGCAGTATTTTTTTCAGCTTCTGGGACAGTTGAGACTGAAAACTGTTTTCTAAATATACGCTACATGCAGATGGAGTCTAGTTTTGTGGAATAACACTTAGCCAAGTGCTAAGAAAATGAAGTTAGTGTCTCTCTTTTTAGTTTGGGATAAAAAAAGAGAAATAAAAAGTGTTTTTTGTAATATTAACAACATTTCTTAACACAAATACATTATAACATCATATTAATCCCACTTATGGGGGAAAGTGGTGGCAATAAAACTCCTTTTTGAGCCGAAGATTTGTATTCTGAAACATTAAGTCATTTGCTCTGGCATTTCTGTTCCACAAATTTGCTGATAAGGAAACACTGTTGTTTCTATTTTGAATAGCCATTCAGTCTAGCAGTGATTCACAGATGGAGGAAAATACATGGTGTGATCAACTAAATCAGTACAATGGAGGATAATGAAACATTTCTGCAACAGGAAAAATTCTTTCAGGTGCAGATTGAAATGGAGATTTGACAGAGTGAGCAGAAGATCATTCTCAGAGTTTCTTCTTTCCCTGAAATCGAGGAATCTATGACTTAGGGGACTGAAAGGTCTCCGGTGAGCAAAATTGATCCATAATGAGAACAACAGAGCGTGCCAAACTTAACCATTTGATAATGCTTAAGCACAATATGACAGAGTGAAAGAATGACCCATGGCGTGAATAGGACAGTAAATATAATTTATCACAGTATCATAGGGATATGTAGTTTTGAGTCTCATTACAAAGCTTTCGCTCATCCCTAGCAAGTATGTAATGGGAATTACATAAAGTGAATTTAAGTGAAATATTAGACTAGCTGTCTACAGATGCAAACCAGCAGCTTTGTCAGCACGCAAAACAGCAGCTTTGCATCTACATCAGTCAGAGACATAACTCTTGTTAGCTTTAAGGGGAGACTGTGAACTAAACCATCTAATGCTTTTGTGGAGATTTTGTTTCTTAAGGTATCTAAGTACATCTGGTTCATTCACTTGAATGCAATGTCAATCAAAGTGCCACATCTGATGGCTGCTTAGATAGATAAACGAGGCCTGAGTGATGCTTTTTGAGAAAAGAAATTGCTTTTTTCATCTTTAATTATAGCATATCTAACACGCAAGGCTTGAATGCCCTGTTGCCCCAGAAGAGCACTCTTTTATTATTTTAACATGAAACTACCAAAAGTCACTTCACCATGTAAATTCTTCAACAAAAGATGATGTGCTGCCTTAAGTCTCCCTCTGTGAAACAAGACTAGTTTCACATATGCAAACGTTATCATTTAAAATCATTTGCGAGATGATTCAATAAATGAATTTCAACAATGCTTTTCAGTTGACTGGAGTGCCTATTGATTAGTGATGAAACTGAGGGAAAACAAAAAATGTGACTTTACTTTGCATGAAAATGACACTATTCCTGCTCCATTCAACTTATTTGTTCAACAGTATTCAGCTAGCAAATGGAAGCATAATGAGAAGGAAAATACCACTTTATTTCTAATATTTTCCCAGTTTCAGCATCTTCTCTTGCTTTATATTTAGGGAATTTTACAGTGTGATGTGTGGCAAGAGCCAGAGGAATTCTCACTTTCTCCACTAGGAAGTGGACGACCAGCCCCAAATATGGGGTGCCAGTGTATTGTACTCATTGCACCTACAGTCTGGTAAGTTTTGGAAAAGTCTTATTTTCTTCAGGATGAATCCATTGCTTTCCTGACTTTATCTCACTGATGTTATCTATAAGAGACTAGGGATTTCCTAACACTTACTGACTCCCATTTTCAATAACGGTTTAAGGCAATTTTCTTCTCACTCATAAAATTCTCATGTGTGTACACCACCACTTGGAAAATACGTAGTTTGATTTTTTGGTGGCAGTTGAGCTTTGTACGAACAAGTTAAAATCTCATATATGCTTACAGCAATAACACCTAAATGAAGTGGATGATTGCATGCCTTGGGCTATTTATGTCATCTTAAACATAAGTATCTAACTTACGTGCTTAAATTAGGAAGTCTCCTCAAGCACCCTAACTTTGGACCATATAAGTTAAGATCCTGCTCTGAATCACTTTTTGACTAAGACTCTCTCTTCTCTGTGGTTATATGGAGGGAACCCACAGATACTAGCCTCCTCTTGAAGGCACCTAAACTACATGCCAGAAATTAGCAAAGTGGACCTCTTCTCCATCCTGCCATGTGTGTCCTGGGCGAGTATGCATAGATGTGTAAGAAAGAAAGTGTTGGCCTGCTCAGAGGTGTGATTGAGATCCTTTGCCTAGGATGCTAACTCTTCATTTACCTGTTGTGAGAAACAGGATTTTGCTGACTGCTCGGTATAACCAAATGAAGGCCCTTCAAAAACAGCTGTGGGCAGCTTGAGAACCTCCCGCAGAAACATGTCGTATCTGCCATAAACCATCACTCCACTGGAGTCGGAAATCATTGAGAAAATATCTGAGGGGAGAAAAAACAAGGAAAGGACACAGCAACTTTAATTACAACTCCTCTCAACAGAAAACAAAGAGAATGACTTACATATTAAAAAGCAGCTGGTTTTAATATTAAAATATTCCTGCTTTTTTCATTGCGTGTGGCCATTTTTTCAAGTGAAGTCTGACACATGTCATAAGGCAGTAATTTCATTAGATAAGAAGGATCTAGTTTGACAAGATACTCAACATCAGCGTTTTGCCTACTGCCAGCTTACCATGTCAAATCTAAATCTTGACAATGAGTTCATTAAGTCATTCATTATTGTTTTGGACGCACAAAGCACTGAAGGTCTTTCAAATGCATGACTTCCCACCCTTCTCCATTTTTTTCCTGTTCTGTTCATGTATAAAAATACTGCAGTTTTATTATTGTAGAGATGCATATTTCTTAGCCTTTACATTTCCCCTTGTTTAAAATTATCTTGAGCTTAGCAGGACATCATAGACTAAGGACTATTTATCATTTTTCAGGCTATCATGTCAGCTGCTTCGTTTCTAGGAGTGTGGAAGGGAAATTCTGACAACAGGACTCCGGTAGTGCTGACCTGAAAAATCAACATCATACTCCAGTCTTCCTCTGGGATGGACCCTGCTCACATTCTTAAAGTAGCTTAATTAACAAACAGTGCTCAATTTATAACAGTATTCAATTTATAATTTACGTTCAGTCTGTATTTGAGTTTCTATTAACATTTATTTTTAATTTTCTATTAAATTTAATTTTCTATTTAGAAAATGGCACCAAATCTGGAAGATTGTATTAACACCTGGGATTTCTACTTGTCTACTCTAATCAACAACAATTTGTAAACTCTACCACAACTCTTTGGTTGTGGTAGAAGGCTTAGAGGAAACTGAAGGCTGAAATTAATCCTTTGGTCAAAAAGTATGGAAAATGGTGTTCTGAACCTGAGCTACAGATGTCATAGCACTAAACAGAAAGTCTTGCATTGCATCTACAAGTACCCAATGCCTTGGCTATTGGGAAACTGGGAATAAATCCTGTGAAATGAGAATCTGTTCTCCAAAAGAGACGGAATTAGTATGGGCCCTATGGGAAGAAATATAAACATTTCATAAATATATTGTACTTCTAAGTGTGGAATGAGAGAAATGTTTTTAAATAAAGTTTGTAAAATTGCTAAATGATGCTTAATGATGTTACACATTTGAGGCACTTACCTGTACTCTGAATTCAATCATCCCACAGAAAAAAAATAAAACCCACCAAGCAAAACCGCAATATATGCAATCTGGCTTCAAAAATATGAAGTTCAGACAAACATTTAGAAGTATTTACTTGGAGATATATAAGGTGCAAATCCCAAAGCCAGTCATGAAACTGTAACTTCCCCTAAGTCCCTCTTTTCCTACCTGTACAACTTATACTATCAAGTACAACACTGTCACCCAATGTCAGGTACAAAAATGTCACCCAATAGACTTACATCTTAATTTGTCCATGATTTTTCCTCCACAAAGAGTTGCCAAGGCCATTTTGACAGCAAAGACGGAAATTTTACCATGTCCTTCCCTGTTCAAAAGTAGAAAGTACACATATTGTATATGTCTATTTTATAATATGGACCTCTTTCAATTTAAAATGTATAAGGACTTGACATACCATAATGCACACTATATGTGGATTGACATACAAAGAAGTAAGATCTTTAAAATCAAAATTTGTTTTGTGGGAACACACAGCAGCACATTGTTCTGTAAATATCTCAGAATGAATTTGTTACATATATGAAGCTCAGTATTAAACCATTTATCTCATTACACACTGTGGTGATGATAATTCCTGATCATTACCGGAAGGCACCTATAGCACTTGTGGTCTCCCTACCCTCAGCGCCCTGTGCATCTTCTGTCCCCAGAAAAGTGCAAAAATCAACACTGGGAACAAAAGTGAAAAAGCAGAAAGGGATCACATGACTGCACAAGGTGGGTATTGTACGCTTTAATAAGTCTTTACCCCCATGATCTTTTAAGAAGGACTTTGCTGAAAAATGGGGAAAATACCTGCATCCAGAATGAGCAAAAGATGTTGTGTAGAAGAGTCCTGTCCTTGCCTGTTCAAGTTGAGGCTATGCCTGCCTCTCTGCTTTCAAACTAAAATGCATGCTATTGAACCCCAAATGTGCACAGGAGTGTGCCTTGGGGCAAAAAGACAAACAATTTTTTTCTGTAAATCTAGTCACTTTCAGGTAAAAATAAAACACATATTTTTTTTCTCCCTGGAAGGATCAGACTGTGCACTGCACTCTCAGGAGTGATCCAGTAATGATCCCCAGGGATCAGTGCTGGGTCCAGTT